CATATATATAAAAATTCAGGGTTCTGTAGAATTGGAAAGTCAAGTACCTTCCAAAAAAAAAAAAAAACAACCCCCAAAAAAGCCCCCCATACAAACAGTCCAGATGAGGCAGCATTTCCTGTCCGCCCCGCTCTGAACACAGCCAGAGACCCGCTCGGGTTCTATCAGCAACCAGTAGGTTAAGGCAACTGAAAGCTTTTGCCTTAATTTTTCCTTTTAATATTTGAAATTTTAATTATTTTATTATTTTTTAAAAAATGGAGTCCTCTTGTTTTATGGAAATAAAGGGTTGTTTTCAAACAGTCCCCCAGGGCCCCGTAGTGTGTTTCTCACGTTTGATGGCGGTTTCAGGGCCAGGAGGCCCTCTGGGCGTCCAGGTGAGTGAATCTCCCGTTTTCATCGGGATCCTAATGAGACAGGCGTTTGGCTCCGAAAGGGACTTTCCGTTTCCCGCCGTGGGTTATAAACACATTCTGTGTGAGCGTCTTTCTCTGAATGTGCGCAATTAGAGACCATCACGGTGCTCACGCCAGCACCCACCCGGAGTCTGGAACCTTCCCCGGAGAGAAACGTGAGCCGACCCGTTTCTCCCGCCCGCGAAGCTGGGCGAGCCTGCCTTTCTCAGGACCCCCCGTCCGTTTATTTTGTCTCCCCCACCTGACGTCCCCCGGCGCTTCCTCAGGCGAGCCCCGTGCTTGTGGGTCCCGAGTGGAGGCTTCCAACGCACGCCTTGGACGAAAGTTAAACCCGTTCGTTAGAAAGGTGCGGGATGCGGTTCTCTTTGTTCAGCAAATGTTTATGGTTTTAACTCTTTAAACCCCTCTGCAAGTCACTGGCACTTGAGGGCACAGCCGGCCGGCCCGAGAGCTGTCACCCTCGGGAGCGCCCGGGGCGGCTGGTGTGGCCGGTGAGGTGGGATCGGCTCGCGTGATGCCCTCAATCCTGATCATCTAGCCGAGGAACGAAGCCTCGCCCTGGAGAGAGAACCCAGAGGACACGCCAGCTCCCTCCAGGTGCCTGAGCGGCCGCACTGGGCCGTGACATGCGGGCGGCTGCCGCGAGCTGCGGCCCTGGGATCGGCCCGAAAGCGTCAGCCAGCTGTGGCTGCACCGATACAGTAACCGAGATGCACCCGTGTTTCCTCAAATAAAATAGCACCAAGCGCTGAAAGCTTTCGCTGCCTGAGTAACCAGAGACGGGAGGTATTAGGTGGAGGGGGGAAGGATGCCTGAGCTAGTGTTTAATCAGCAAGTGCGCCGTCTCTTTCGGTCACTTCTCCAGCTTCCACCTTGATTCAGAGGTGAGCAGAGCGGTGCCCTCGGGCTGGGTTGCTGGGAGGTTAGTTCCAGCCCCTCCTCCAGCCCCTTGGACCAGCCTCAGTAGCTGTAAAACCCCGAGAGGGCGAATCTTTCCCCCTCATACTGAAAACAGACCCCCCCTCGGCTCACTGCACGGAGACACCCCCCTCTCTTCCCATCACCTGCTCACGTCTCCGTCAGGGGAAAAGTCGCCCCAGAAACCTCCTCACTGTCGGAGCCTAATTATTTTAAACAGTGAGCCAGGAGCATGGAGCACCTTACGTGGTCGGAATTGGTACACGTGGAAAAGTAGATCGGGAAGATGCTCTGCCGCTTTTCCTTCTAAATGACTTTCCATCGGCAGCCAGAGTGCAGGACTCACGTGACTTAAACTCCGCAAGGTGCACCTCTTCTTAGAGAGGCAAAGGGGTCGCCAGAAGGAGTGAGAGGAAAAGTGAAGGGGCCAATCACGCCTGAATCAAGTTGGAAGCATAAATTAGATCGTTAAAATGGTTTTGTATGTTAATCCACGGGGAGAGGAGCTTCTGGAGACCAGTGAATAGATGGAGTCCACTTACACTGTTAGTAAATGTTGATTTTCTCAACCAATGTACTTGCCCCGACATTTTTTTTTTTCTTTAATATATCTTTATTGATTTCAGAGAGAGGAAAGGAGAGAGAGACAGACAGAAACATCAATGATGAGAGAGTCATTGATCGAGCCCACAACCCGGGCATGTGCCCTGACCGGGAATCGAACCCCAATCGCCTGGATCCCAGGTCGACGCTTAACCACTGAGCCACGCCCGGCCGGGCTTGCCCCAACATTTCTGATCACCAAGGGTTAGGGCTAGAAGGCGAGGAGTGCCCAGAAGGTCCTCCCTGTTTTTTATTCACCGTCGCAGCCAAGATCTCCAGCCAACCCGCTTTCTTCTTACTTGTTTTAAAACGTTGCTTTCCCCTTGCTGTCAGCAGCTAAGACCGTCTCGCCCCCGGAAGGCAAGCCTTAGTCTCCGCAGACCCGAGGGATGCGAACCTAACGACGTCTCCTTTCTGTCTCTTTTCTCAGCAGAGGAACCAAGGATGAGAGACGGCTCAGCCACGGCGCGCCTGGACCTGTGGGAGGCTCCCTCACCAAAACCCAATTAAAAAACAGAAACAAAAACACATAGTACTTGCACTTTGTATTTTAAATGTAAATTCACTTTGTAGAGATGAGATATTTAAACAGACTGCTTTAATCTGTGAAAAGGGAGGGGCTGGCTTCGGCACATTAATCACATACAATGTATGTGTCCCCTCTGACCTTGGACATCTGTAGTGGGTGGCGCTGTTCTGGGTGGATTTCAGCTTGCTCCCTGGGTCCCACGTGTGTGTGCCTAGAGGATGGTAGCCTGGGGCTCAGTGGCTCCATCTCTGTGGCTCCTCAGTGGCACGGGTGGTGGCCTGGGACTCAGTGGCTCCATCTCCGTGGCTCCTTGGTGGCACAGGGTGGTGGCCTGGGACTCAGTGGCTCCATCTCCGTGGCACTCACACTTCCGCTAGCCATTGCATTGAGAACTCCTGTCCTTGCAGCCTCCTGGGGTCCCTGTCGGAGCTTCACGCTTCCATACAAATCTGTCACCTGCTGCTGTCCTCGAGCGCAGTGAGGGTCTGTGTGTTCCTGGGACTTGGTTGGCTTGTTCTATTTTCCCAAGATCCTGCTCCCGCCACGTTTGCAATCACAACAGCAGGTAGATGCCTGGGGACCTGGGGACAGTTCTGAACCAACTTCATGTGTGTGCTTTGTAACCTCAAGCTTGGGCTCAGGTTAATCAGGCAGTAAAATCGATGTTAGGGGGCTGTCCCTGTCATCCATGGGCAGTGGGCAGGGGTCTGATGGCCAGAGAATAAATGTGATCAGGCCGAGACCGGGGTCTGCCTGACTTTTGCCCCTCACCTGGCCTTACCCACCCAGAACCCCTAGAAGGTAAAATTATCACCTGAACCACTGCGGACAGTCTCCTTAAAGACGGCGCAGCCAGGATAGGCTGTGCTCTGGGTGGCTTGACCGTGGCAGGCAGGGAGCTGCGCCCGTAGTTCCCGTTTCTCCTCAAGCGCATAAGAACTTGTCACTGGGAGATTCTTCTGGGGGGCACGTGGGAGGAACGGGTCAGGAACCGAACGCTCACCCTGCGAGCCACAGGACCTGCCCGGTGTACAGCCAGGGGCACTGTGAGAGTGGATGGCGCTCACTGAGCAGCCTGGGAGGATGGTGGGAGCCCCGTGCAGCTGGCGGTGAGGCTCTCAGCTCCCAGGTTCGTGGGGAAACCATCTTCGTGGCCCCCATTCCCCAGCATGTCGTGTACATGGTCCCTATGAACATGCATGAGGACCTGTTGTACGGCTTCTTCCTTACTTAAATGTGCAAAGTAAAAGCTGAAACTCTGGAGCCGCAAATACAGCTCACGTGTGTGTCATTGTTGCTAAGGAAACAGTCATGATCCTAAATTTATTGGATAATCTTTTATATTTCTGAACTTTGAATTTAATCATTTTTCTTAGATTGAAATAAAATATGCTATCAAGACTGTCTCTCGTCTTTTTTTTCTGGCTAACTACACAGTTTTATAAATGCTTAATTTTAGGGTGTCTACCGGGGGGAGGCATGGACTGGAGTCTGGCTCCACCCCACGGCTGTGTGACTTTGGATGTGTTACTGAACCTTTTCCTGCTTTGGATGGTCGGACGCACCTCCGGGGCGCAGATCCTATGAGTCAGTGTGTGTGACGAGCCTTATTTTGTGAAACAGCCCTGTGCTCGTAAGTCCCAGACGAGCCCAGGGACACTCCTGCTGCCCGATGCCATGGGGACCAGAAAAGAAACGGAAGAGGCTCTTATTTTGATGAAAGTGGATGCTGTTCCCCAAGTCACACAGGACAGGCCTACGAGGCCCCTTCTCTCCCCAGCCCAGGGCCCTGTCCTGGTCAGAACCCCTTCTGTTCCACTTGGCCGTGGCTGTGGCTTTTTCCCTCTTCCCCCAGTTGTATT